GAAGGAACGGTGCAAGGAGGAATTTATGGGCTGAGCTTGGGGCAGGTCCCATGAGTGGGAGGAACAGGTAGTCACCAAACTTGAAAAGTTCCTCTGCACAGAGTTTCTCCCCACCCAGATGTTACAGGGCCAGGACCTCCAACATTTTATAATTCATTCATTCCTTTGGGGTAAGCATCGATAATCCCAGATGAATCCTCTTTAAAAATACAAATCTTCTGGGCCCTGCTAGTCAACTCCTAGGCACAAAAACCTTAACACAAATGTTCACAGCAGCATTATTAATAATAGCCAAAGAGTAGAAACAACCCAAATGTTCACCAACATTTATCCAAGAAAAATATATCCCTGATGACATATCCATACAATGGATTATTCAACCAAAACAGGAATGAGATACCAACTCATGAACCATAAAAACATGACACTAAGGAGCTCTGGTAGCGTAGTGGTTACGAATCGGGCTTCGAACCGGAAGGTCAGCAGTTCGAAACTACCAGCTGTTCCGCGGGAGAACGATGAGGCGATCTGCTCCTGTAAAGATTTACAGCCTTGGAAACCCTATTCAGGGTCGCTATGGGTCGAAACCGACTCGACGGCACTTAACAACAACAACAAGTGAAAGAAGCCAGTCACAAAGGATCACATATGATATAATTCCATTATATGAAAAGTGAGATTAGCTAAAACCATAGAGATGTAAAGTAGATTGGTGCCTACCTAGTGCTACAGAGGTGGGAAAGAGAACAGACCTTGCTGGGGGAAATAGGGAGCAACTGCTACTAGATACGTGGTTTCCTTTTGGGGTGATGAAAATGATTGGGTGATTATTGATTATTGATTGTTGCATAACTGAATATATACTAAAAACTATTGAATTCTGTCCTATAAAATGAATGAATTAGATGGTCTATGAGTTTTATCTTAATATAAGGTCAATGGTAAACACTCAATAAATCATCACAGATCTAGTTTACAAAAAAAAAAAAAGTAGGGCTCAGGCATGACTTGGCACTGAACTAATTCAGTTTCTGAGGTACTGAAGAAATGACAGCTATTCCAGGGGAAATAGGACCCCCTCCCACCCTTAACATCCTCCAATGGAACAGGGACCAGGACCAGCAAGGACAGTAGAATGGAAGTGGGAACAAATGAAGGCCAACATAATGAAAAGGAGCCAATCTTGACCCAACCAAAGTTTCCACACTCTTCCTACATTCCTGCTCCAGGGTGCTCGATGGAGAGGCAGAAGGCAGAGGGGCAAAGTTGTCTAAATTAGTTGTTGTTAAATGCCGTTGGTTCCAACTCGTAACAAGCAACCTTGTATAGTTTCCGAGGAGCAGCTGGTGGGATTGAACTGCTGATCTTGTGGCTCGCAGTCTCTGCTGATCCTACCACATGACACCAGTTGTCTAAGTCAGTAGCAAATAAAAAAAATAATAGCAAACATCCAGTCCAAATCAATAGTATGGCAATTGGGGGTGATCTGAGCACTTTTGTCAGCCACAGTGTTTTATATGCATTATTTGATTTAATCCTCACAAGAATTTATGAGACGATGTCATTGTTATCCAGCTTTACAGATAAGAAAGCTGAGACTAAAGTGATTAAGTAATTTATCAAAGCGATTTTAGGCACCTTACAAGTCTAGAACTGAATTCACCCCTCATGGCTCAATTTTCAGTTAAACAATAGAGAGGCCTAATACAAGAGAGGTACTATCATCACTCCTTAAAGAAGGATTGGGGGACCTTTTTTTCTGTCAAAATTTATAACATCAACTTATCAACTTAAATTATCAACTTAAAAATTAGCCTGCCCAGTGTGGTGCTGCTGTTAAGATAAGCACTTGACCACAAGGTCAGTTTGAACTGCAAGGTTGGTGGTTCAAACGAACCAGCTGCCCCTCGGAAACCCTATATAGCGTCTCTGTGGGTTGGAACCAACTCAATAGCACTTAATAATAACTAAAATGTGATGGCTGGAACTGAGGTTGCCTTGGCAGGGCCAGACCAAATGATTTCAAGGATCTTAAGCGGTGCTGTTGGTTAATGAGCTGAACTGTAAGGTTGGTGATCCAAGCTCACCAGCCGCTCGTCGGAAACCCTATACAGGGTCGCTATGGATTGAACAGACTCTATGACACTTAACAACAACAACATAAGGCCTGCGGGCTGGATGCTCCCTGCCCCTACCTTAAAACAATCAACCACAGGAGATCAAAAGGGCAGCACTTGCCCAAAGATAAAGCTCCAAAGGCAGGTAGATAAAGGAAAGAAGGCCTATTGGAAAGGAAGCCGGTATCTGCAGAGAGGTCCTGGGAATTACAATCAATGTCACAAAACAATATGTGTATGAACTGTTGAATGGAAAAGCAATTTGCTCTATAAATGTTCACTCAAATTATACAAAAAAAAAAAAAAAAAAAAGAGGGGAAAAAAAAGGAATTTGAGGTTTATTTGTTCTTTTCTTTGCCAGTACAACTTGCTACAGCAGTTTGCCAGGGTTTTTTTTTTTTACCTAAAAAGTACATTTTGCATCATGATCTAATAAGCACACAAACATATATCTAAGATGTGTACACATACATAACTAAAACAAAAGTTATGTCAAAAATGCCTACCCTCACTCATTACAAAACATTCTGAGAGTACTGATTCTATTTCATCATTTTTGAATGTTGGTTCTGACTCACTAAGTTGTTTGCACATCCACTACCGGTTACGATCTATAGTTTGAAAAGCACTGGTTGTACCTTGTACCTGCTACATCTGCCTCCAATGAAAACAACCTAGAGTGTATTAGGCAAACGTCAATATCCATTTGTGGTACGCTAAGAAGAGATTTGGCCTAGCTGTTAGGAAAACACCAACAGAATCCCAGGGTCCTGACTCCCATTAGGAATTCCAGTCAGTTCACCTGTCTACACTGCCCACCCCAGAAGAAACATCTGCTCATTGATGTCCTCACTCGCTCACTCTGAGCATACACCAAGGCATTTATTCAATGCTGTAAATCCATGACAGGTTCCTGGGGAACCTAAGCCATCAATTCTATCTGAGCTGGCTCAGAGGACAGGAATCCAGGACAAAGCCTGTCTTCTGACAGTTGATTGTTTATCATCTCCTCCAACTCCTTCAGAGCCCAGGAATGTCCTTCAGGTCAGATGGGGCAATAAGTATTCCATTTCCAGCTTTAGGGCAAAATAATTCTCAAGTCCAGCACACAAAGAAGAAATAAAATTTGTCTCCTCCTTGCTCTAAAGGTCTCTGATCAGCTTCAAATTAATCTATGGCTGGAGATTATCTGAACACCTTGTTCACTGTTTTTCTACCCACTCTTTCTGTCCCACCAGATAAGCAAACAGACGTCAAAAGGTAATGGAGGATGTTGATTAATTTTCAATGTTGTCAATGCCTTAGTCTTAGACCTCTTTCTGGTCTCTTTTCTACAGCAAGCAAAAAGTGTCCAAACACCCACTTCTCCTTTATTTACCTCATGCCCTCTTCCCTGCTTTAATCATTTCAAAACAGCGACCAGGAGTGTAATGCTAACCAGGACTTGCCCTTGGGGCTGACAATACCTACTGCCATGGGATAGATTCAACTCAGTGATTTCCAAGGCTGTAAATCTTTACAGGAACAGACGGCCTCATTTTTCTCCCACGGAGAGGCTGGTGGGTTTGAACCACTGACCCTGTGGTTAGCAGTAAGGGATGGTTAGCAGTAAAGGAGTCCAATAGCTGAGAGAAAATAAAAAGGCTACAGAAGACTAGGACAGAGCAGTAGTAACAAGACCTGTATTGTAATATGATAGAAACACTGACATCCTGGGAGGAAATGGAGAAGGAACTATAAACAGAATTAAATGATCATCTGTACCCTAAATTTGAAATGAGCACCTCTTCTACAAATATCCTTTGAAGCAGTCATAGTCAGCAGCAGCTGGATTAGCTTTACCTCAAGGGCATGCTGACAGGCACAGGGAAAGGGATACTGAGGGGGCTTGGGAAGTAGGGCTACCTTCGCTCCCACTTCACTATCACCCACACTAGCTTGGAAATCGACAAACAGTACACACTCACTCTGGGTTAAGTTCTCAGAGTCTAGAAACAGTCACAAATGAGCCTCCTCTGACTCTTGAGGAGCCCTGGTGGTGCAGTGGTTTAAGCATTGGGCTGCCAACCAAAATGTCCCACGTGAGAAAGATGCACTCAAGTAGCAGTTCTACTCTGTCCTATAGGCTCACTGTGAGTCGGAATCAACTGGACTGGAGGGTAGTGGGTTGGGTTGGGTTGGGCTTTTTGAGAGGAGAGCAGAGAGGCTAGAGGCAAAGTGTGAGGTGAAGGAGTAACACCCCCCACCCCAAATCCCTTCCTTTTTCACCGCAGTCTCTTATATTGCCTTCATCCAGTAGCCTCGGACCAGGAGGCTGGAGGCGGAAGTAAAACCAACAAACTGCCCCAGGAAGCTACAGCCTCGCTGGGAATGAGAAAAATCCTAGCAGAGGAGTGACTGCCCCGCCCCCCGGCAGAAAACCATAAAGTTCACAGAAAAAGGTAGAGTCTTAGACCAATCTCGGCATAGTTTGAGTCCAAATGCTCCCTACACATCCTCCATCCTCCAGGGCAAACAGGAAAAACCTTAGCATTTCACCCTCTACCGATTTCTCTGGTTATGGTAAGTCGAAACCGACTCCTTGGCACTTAACAACAACAACAAAAACACTATGAAGTTTTTTGAAGGGCCACTGAGGTCACCGGGCCCATAGAAAAACCTTTTAACAACGTCCAAAAGAGTGCCATAGTGTCCTCCGAAAGGGCAGGGACACTCTTCCCTCTTTGGAACCCCCAGCACCGCTGCAGGGCGACACAGAAAGAATAGCGCCAACAAGCGCAGTCCGCACTGAGTAGGGCACCAGCAGATGGCAGCGAGCTCGGCAAGGAGCACAAAACGGGCGGAATCAGAAACCAGGAATATCGTGTGGCCGCTTTTTCTTACCGTGGTCTGTCCCTCTGGGTGCACATCCACCAGGGTACACCAATTCCGAGTCCCGTTCATTTCTTTTCTGCGGGAGAGCAGCACGCAGCACCCAGCACCCTTCCGCTCTGCAGCCGGGATCCTATCAGGCGGGCAGGCGTGCAACCAGTGCCTTGTAAAGACGCGTCAAGGGAGGCAACTTGATAGACCACACCCCCGTGATACCTTTCACCAATGCGTGGACGCTTATGTGAGTGGGCGTGGCCATAGGCTTCAAGTTACACCCTGTCAGCATTCGCTAGATTTGCATAAAGGTGGGGCTTTGGTGCTACCTGGGACAGCTTTAACATATGCTTTAGCGTGTGTGGTTGTATCGCGAAACACTCATTAGTGCTGCTGACTCCTTTCATCCCAAGGTCCATGTTGATCAGAGGGAATCACTCTGCCCTCAGGATATGAGGAGCTGGAACCCAAAAAAACTTCCATACAAGCTCGTATATAGATTAGTCTGTAGTTTTGTGGAGTTCCACCAACTTTTTTTCCACTGTGAAATTGCAAACACCAAGAGGCCAGCTCACTCTGACGGGCCTAAGCCTGTCTGGCAGGTGCCCTTTGCTGGCAGGAGGCCCAGGCCGAAGTCAAAGCCAGCTTGGTACTGGGTGGGGCTTGTTTTGCAGAAGCTATTATACCAAAGCTGCCCTTATATGGTTTGGGAGGCGGGACACTTTGCCTTAAAAGGAATTCATATTCTTTAGAAATTGATGAGCCTCAACTTCTCTATTGCATTCGCTCCCAAGCCAGGCTGGCATTTTAGAGGCCTACCCAAGCAGGATCCAGGAGCCTTTTTCCAGTCCAGCTGCTCTAGGCAGGTGGCTACTCTGTTAGCTAATAGGCAGACTATCTTGCCAGGTCTGACCCACTCCAGAATGGATAGTAGTACTCTTATACCTGACAACAGGTTCCATGAACATCTGGCTCCTTCAAGGTAATATAAGGGCAAAGATGGCCAAAACTTTCCTGTCTCTAGGAAGGCACTGAGTCCTAATGCCAGGTAGGCATGGGTGGGGATCTTTGTGGTGGAATGTTGGGCATATCCCTATGACCCAAGGGAATAAAACCCCATTCTGATGTTTCTCTGTAACCCTCAAAGGCATTTACTGGACTTGGTATTTTCATATCCCCAGAGGGTTGCCCCACAGAGTGGAATTGCTATGAATACTTCACGTCCCTTAGGTCCTAGGCCCCACCTGTTGTGAAGGGTCTCTGAAAAGAGGGTTAGCAAGGAGAAGAAAATTACAGCTTCAGTCTCTAAGCTGTTCAGTTAAATGGCTTCTTCTTAAAAATTAAACTGCCACCAAGCCAGGAGAAAAAATGAGGAGACAAACCAAGGACTTCAGTATAGATATATAATTTTAATATTTAAAATAAAATCAAAGCTGGATTGGATTGAGAAAGTCTGGTATGCAGATGAATAGAGGGGTTTTTGAGAATCATGAAATTACAAGTCATTGATGAGAGCAGCCTCTTCCCTCTCCCCTGCTCCCTAGAGAATCTGCTTAGGGAAGAAGAGAAGTGAATCATCTCCTATTACCTCCTCCCCACCAGGGCTTGGCATGCCCCCAAATCCAAAGGAAAAATAAAGCCTCCGTTACCTCTTTCTACTTCTCCAATCAGATCCCAGCCCCAGGCAAGAAGCCCTGACTTAGGGCCAAGCTCCTGAGAAAATGAGGGTCCCTGCTTCCTAACTGAGGTTGGGCACATTTGGTCAGGAAATCCGCAATGAAGGTCACAGGGATTGAACTTGTATAGGCAGTTGTCAGCGTTCCCAGGAGTAATCACCTCATAATCACATCCATAGTCATAGAAGAGGGAGTGGAAGGATAAAAACCCTGAGCAGAACCAGGCCCCCACCACCTGATCACAGCCCTATCAAAGTTCCTCTCATCAGCAAAGAAGCTGGCAGCTCTCCCAAGCAGTCACTAGAGCAGCAGGGAAGACTGAGGGCCCCAGTTGTAGAAAGGCTGGGCTTTGAAGAGGTATGAATGTGCAGGTATAAAAGGCAAGAAGAGCATTCATATCTTCTCGCCCTGGTTAAGGCACTGAGAGGCTAGAAGGAAGGCAGGAATGCTGATTATGGGAAGGAGAGGAGAAAGAGTTCCTTGGATTTGCTGGCGTGAGAGGAAGAGAAGGGATACTGGGACTACCTTGTAGGCCCCATGACTGTGCAAAAAAAAGCATATGTTAAGTGGCAAGAGCCATGCCAGCATATCCATTGTCTATTATGTCCCTCCTCATCCTCCTGCTCCAGAGCGGGAGGAAAATGGGTTTCAGGAGTCAAGGGCGCAGAATCACATAGGTTATTTCCCTGAGCCTTAAGGTTTAAGAGTTGAAAAAATAAAGCTTTATACACATGGCAATGTCTATCCCTTCTTATCCTGCTCAGTTCTCCTCAGCTTATCTGCTGACCATCCTGCTGTGAGGGAGAAGAGGGAGAGGTCAGCAATCGAGGGAGGGACTTGGTTGGCCCAAGATACCAACTGTCTAAGTAATGGTGAAGTCCATCCATCAGTTTAGCTGTGCTACCATTTTTACCATCATCACTCCAATCTCCCTGCCCTTATTATAGGTCTGAATAATTGGGTCACCCGTAGGAATGAGGAATCCAAGGCTGGCCAAGGCACAGCAAGATAAAGCAGAGCAAGGCTGGTCAGGATAGGACTGGTTTCCGGGCCCTTGTGGACCACGAACTAACAGGAGCTGGTCTGCAGGTTGCTCTCAGTAAGCAGTGACGTTATAGATGAGGGGTCATAGACACTGTCAAATTCTTCATCTGAACTCAGTCCTTCATGTTTGAGCGTTGTCTCAGCAGCTGAGCGAGATGCTTTACGCCTGAGTCCAAGAGAGAGAGAGGAATATTGGTTAAGGAAGGGCACTAACTCCATGCTAGTAGAAGAATAGAGACAGCCACCAGCCACCCTTTTCATGCTAAGTAAACTCCAATTCTTCTAAGATCTAAAGCTACTTATACAATTCCCTACAAATCAGAGATTTGGGATGATAGGATATAGAGAATGGCTGAGATTCTAAGAGTAATCATGCTGACTTCTAGACAGGAATAAATGTCTATCTGCAAAGTCCCTTCTTATCCAGTTAGAAGAGTCTACTCCCTTTCTGCACAAGGGCAGCCATACCAGGAGTCCTTTTCTAGGCTTTTGATCCGAGCCTGGAGCTGTTCATTGACTTCGTGTTGCTCCTCCAGCTCACGCTGGGCCTTCTTCCGCAGGCTATCCAGCCGCTCAATTTCCTCTTCGGCTTCATCCACCTGCCGCTTCAAAGCCTTTACCCGCAGGCTTAGCTGGGCAGGACACCAAGTCCACACATTAGAAAAGTACCTGATGCCATGGCCTGGGACCCTCCCCTTGAAACAATCTTGACAAAGGATTATTATCCCTGGAAAAATAACATGGTCAAGTTCCCTAACCTCTCTGTTCCTCAGTGGAATCCTCATGTCGAAAACTTGACAATCAATGACAATAACCTCATAGGGTTGTCCTGAGGATTAAATGAATCCATACACTAGCATGTCAAAAGCTCATTCAATGTACGTGCTTACTGTGACTAATGAGGTCTAATTCTGTCCCAGGGTGGTACAGTCAGTGTGCTTGGCTGCTAACCAAAAGGTTGAAGTCTACCCAGAGAGCATCAGGAGAAACAGCCTGGTGATCCACCTCCAAATAATCAGCCAATGAGAGCTACATAAAACACAGTTCTACTCTGACACATAAAGGGTGTCTTAAGTTGGAATTGACTCAACAGTCAAATTCATAATAATAAAGTCCAATCTTAGAGTTGTTCCTTATCTAATCTCTCTTATACTGAAAAAAAAAAAAAGTCTAAGTTAAGTTTAGGAAATGTGGAAGATGGCGGCTTCCCTTTCCTTTAAGCAACTACATAACATTTACTTGCCACATGGTTGCTTGGCCCTGGATGGACATTTTTACCTGGTCTTTCTGGTCATTGACGTGCTGCCGCTCATCATCAATTTGGATAGACAGCTCTTTAACTCTCCGCTCCAGTTTTCGGTTGCTGGACTGCAGAACCGACTTCTCCCTAAGCGCAGGGAAATTCTATGGTTAACGCCATTTCTAAGAGAACTCTCCCCTGGTCACCTACTACTGCCTCTAGGGATTCCCTCAGTCCTGAGCCCCACCATTAGACTAGGGAAGCACTAGGGTAGATCAAAGAACTGGGGAGATAGAGGTGGTTGCAATTTTAGAATTTCTGCAACTCTCTCTCTGCTTTCTTAGCAAAAAAAAAGGCTTCTCTAGAGATCAAGCCAGATTGGTCAGGTCTGAGTAGAAAGTGGAGGAAACTCCAAAGAAGAAGCACATAGAGGGAGGGAGGAGAAAGAAAAGGACAAGCTCATGTCACCTCTCCTCAGCCTGCAGCCGTTCCTGCAACTCCTTGTTGTGGGACTCAAGCTGGGAAAGGCTGGCGTTGGGCTTCTGGAAGCCTTCTGAGCTGGCCAACCGGCTCTTCAAGTCCTTGTTCTGAGAGGGACAAGAACCTCCATGGTTAGCACTCCACTCCCAAGTCCCTTCTGTGGTCATTCTACCCACCTCCTTGGTTCTAACCCTGAAGGCTGCCCATCCCTCTCCATCACCTGTCTCTCCAGGGAGATTTTGTCACACTCCAGGTCCTGTCGAGCAGACCTCTCATGCATGAGTTCTGTCCTCAGCTGGTCCACCTAGTGGGGGCAGGTAAGGGGAACCAGACTTGGGGAAACTAAAGACAAACCAGCAAGCTGAACCTAGTGAAGCAGAGTATCCCAAAAGTTCTCAGGCCAATAGAAATCACAGTCTATCATAATGGATAGACTTATGAACAATGCCTCAGGAGTCCCACCAGAACTAGCATCCCTTCTGAACTTAAGTAGCCTCTACACAGGTCAGAGAATAGCCCAGACCACCAGAGTTCTTTCTTCCTCTTAAATTACTGGCTTCTTTCCACCTGAGAAATCCTGCCAGAAGTAGACAAGAGCCTAAGGTAGAACCATCTATGTACAGATGCTCTATAACCAGAACTGTCCAGATAATGAAAGAGATGGAAGTTGTTTTTGAGAGGGGAAAGAGGTTATAGAATCAGAAACAGATATGGCTTAGGTAATGAATGGGTTACCTGGTCCCGGCCACGATTTACCCGGTCCGTCAGCAGCTCCACAGTGTTTTTCTCTTCATCTAACTCTGCTTCTAGCCGTGAAACTTTTTCCTGCAGCAGAGGGAATGCACTCAGACCAGGACCCATTCAAACCCCAGTCTCCACAGAGTGCTCTCATCTCTACAACCTCTTGATCCTAGTCCCTGCCAAGAGCTAGCATGGAGCTAGTGCCCTCTGCTGGCCAGGTGAGGCATTAAGGGGAAGGAGTGAGGCATGTTCTAATTATTACCCTTTGGCAGGAAGACAAATTCCAGAATTCATTTCTCACTGTCAGAGTTCTGTTTCCCAAAAGGGAAAACGGAAGCCCAAATGCCTGGGCCAATGCTGAGGTGGAGAGGGTCAGAAACTGTGGCACCAGAGCATAGAGAGGGGAGCAAACACTCAAATCAGGCCGTACCATGTCAAGGTTAAAAGTATGGACTCTGGAGCCAGATGGCCTGGGTCTGAAATTCAGATCCCCCACTTGCTAGCAGTGTGACCATGGACAAATTACTTAACCTCTCTGTGCCTCAGTTTTCCTCATCTCCCAGGTCTATTCTGAGAATTGAGTACGACAGTGCTTGGCACATTGCTGCCACTGCCACTGTTGTTACTATTATATGGCCTCGTACAGCCAAATGAACAACAGCTCAGTCTAAAGGGGAGCCAACCACACCTCTCAGTCCCAGCCTACCGTGGCCACACAGAGAGCACAGGACTATGAGCTCAGCATTACCGTATTCTTTCAATTTTACAAAAGAAGTCAGAAATTGTTTTTTGTTTGTTTTTTTCAATGTAGAATCTATACATTTCTAAATATTGGGAATGGATTCATATTGTCTTATAAAACACAACCCAACAACTGTGCGCTACTAGTTTTCCATGTGAAAAAGGACGCCCGGTGGTAGTACAGAAAGAGGGGCCTTAGTGGTGTAGTGGTTAAAGCACTTGTCTGCTAACTAGAAGGTCGAAGTTCAAACCCATCAGCCATTTCCAGGTAGAAGGATGCAGCACTCAGTTTCTATAGATTTACAGCCTTGGGAATCTAAGTTGTTGTTGTGAAGTGCCATCAAGTCAGTTCCGACCCATAGCAACCCTGTATAGGATTTCTGAAGAGAAGCTGGTGAGCTTGAACCACCGACCTTGTAGTTCAAATGATTTTTTTAGTCTGGTGCATTAACCCACAGCGCCACACCTATAGGGGAGTTCTATTCTGTCCTATAAGGTCGCTATGAGTCCAAATCAACTCGATGGCAATGGGTTTTTTTATATAGAAAGAGGCTTGGCATGTCCTGATTTCTTTACCCCCAGAGGTCCTACCTGTGCCAGGACCCAGACCTTCTTCCTCCTGACCCAACTCAGCTCACTCGTCACCATTCTTACCTCGAGGCCCTTCAGTTGCCGGGTCCTATCATCCTGGGAACGCTTTTTATTTTCTGCCTCTTGTTCCAGCCCCTGCAGCCGCTGGGCCAGCAGTTCCTTGTCCAGCTGGGCAGTGTCCCGCTCAGCCTGGGATGCCTGCAGGGCCTGCCGCAGCCTCTGGGTCTGAACAAATGGAACAAAGCAACAGTGCAGTGGAGTGAGGAGGAGAGAGATAAGGGGTGGCCGTGGACTTCCCCTGCATGGAGAAGTAGCTTATCCCTGACATTCTTTAGAATTGCCAAGACAGAGATAACAAAAAAGCAGACCAACTTTTAGTTTTAAAATTCCTCTGTGAACATTGGGATCACTTGGGAAGTTTTAAAAACGACTGATCCTGAGCCCCAAACAAAGAGAACAAAGAGACTATGATTTGAATGGTATTGGATGCAGTTTGGCCACTGGGATCTTAAATACCTTCCCAGGTAGATGACTCGAATGTGCAGCAGAGTTTGAGACTCACCGATGATGCATCCCCTATTTTTTTGTATGCAGAGTGGACTACTCCCCCACCATTCCCTACTTTAGTATGTCACTGCAAGCAGTTAGACCTAAACTTGGGCCCCAGGACAGACACCCTGGCCCTAGATTCAGCTAAGAGGCAATGAATGACCTCTTCAAACCACGGACATTAGGATAGTTCCCAACCTCCTGCCACTCAGGAGTGACTCTTGAGCTCCTACCTCATCCTGAAGCTGGCTCAGGCCCCCAGAGGTCTTCTCAACCTCACTGGCCCAGTCCTTGGCCTGGCGCTGGGCATCTGCCACCTCCCGCCGAGCCTTTTCCTTGTAATCCTCTAGTTGGGCCTGGAGCTGCCGCAGGGCTTGCTTAGAGTCGCCCCCTATCTGCTCCAGCTGAAATGCACAGACATGAGTTCTCAGAAATGCACTCTTTAAAAGATGTCTCCGTCCCTGCTAAGAGTACCAGCTTTAAGACTCTCCCTGAACCCCATTCTGCTCCTTCCTGGGCCTGGAAGGTGTGGCGCTGTAGGATCAGAACTGGACTGTGAGCCACAAGGTCAGCAGTTCAAACCCCACAGCTGCTCCTGAGGAATTCTATACAGGGTGAGTCAGAACAAATTTGATGACACTTAACAACAAGATTATATAGACTGCCTGGGTTCAAATACTGCCTCTACCACAGGCAAGCAACTTACCCTTTTTGAGTCTCAGCTCTTCATCTGTAAAATGGCTATTAATACTATCACAAGGTATTGTTGTAAGAATTACTGAGTTAATGAAATTACATAAAGGACTTACCCCAGTGCCTGACACAAAATAAACCTTAAATGATTATATTTCAGCACACTTGAGATGCCAATTATTTAAAAATACACCACCCTTAGACAACTATGCCAACTGAACTATGACATTCCATAAACCATGTGGCATAACCCGATTTCAGAGATAAAATACAATGTGCATTTTAGAATTAATGAAACACGTCTGCTTATTGTTTCATAAAGTAAAAAGACTTTTCTTTTTTACTTTTCATAAAGTAAAAAGACCCCCATGCAACTTATTTCCCTTGTTTCCTTCCCCTTCTCCAAAGACAAAATTCTATTAATGGAGAGTCATATGTTTATGGCTTATAGACTTCAAAGTGATAAATATCCCTCCCAGGAGGAATTCTCTAAGGAGCAAGTCCATAAAGGATGGGGGAAGGGCATAAATAAGGAAGAGACGTAGGAAGGATGCCACTCTCTGAGGATTTGGCTGTGGGAACCCCAGCAATGAAAGTGAGAAAGCAAACACTCCACACTTCCGAATTCCCCTGCCCACGCACTGCCAGTTAAGCTTCTGTATAAGTTGAGCCTCTTGCTGAGTGCTGTGTACCCCACCTCCTTGTTTAGTCTGTCCACGGTCCTGTCCAGCAGATGTTTCTGTTCTTCCAGCTCAGCCTTGCCACGCCGGAGTGCCTCACGCTGCTTGCTCTCCTCCTCTAGAGCCCGGTTCAGTGCCTGCCGCTCTTGCCCCAGGCGGGCCAGCCCCCGCTGAGCCTCCTCCAGCCGGGCCTCCAGAGCTCGCTTGGCTGCTGCTAGGCTCCCTTCCTCTTCCTGAGCTGTGTTCAGGGTCTCTTCTAGCTTCTGCTTCTCTGCCTGAGAGGGAAGAAGTGGGGGAGAGGGGTCAGACTAGAAGGAGACAAAGCTTGGGTTCAAGAATCAGGAGGGAGGGAGTCATCCCTGGGTGATACAAACAGGTAAGGTGTTTGGTTGCTAACTGGAAGACTGGCATTTCAGATTTATCTGTTATTGTTAAGTGCCTTAGAGTCGGTTCTGACTCACAGTGATCCTGTACAGGGTTTCTGAGGAGCGGCTGATGAGCTTGAACTGCTAACCTTGCGGTTCAAACCAACCTTGCAGCCCAGAGCATTAACCCACAGTGCCACATCAGGACTCAAGACTTTAAGAAAGCCTTGATCATCTACTTTAGAAAAAAAGCAACCTTTGAAAACCCTGAAAAACAGTTTTATTCTAACACTCATGGGATGGTCATAAGTCAATTGATTTAGACAGTAACTGGTTAACCTAGGTAAAAGGAAGGCCGGAGAGGTATGAACAGTAAAAGCAGACTCAAAGGAACCAGTAAATAAATCAAGACCCAGAGTGCAAGCAAAGTGTAGGCGAATGCCAGTACAAAGGCTGAAACATTCACACCCAAGTATACTCTGGGAAATAAATCCAAGGAAAAAACCCAGGGCTTGGGGTTTAGGGAGGCAAAAGAGAGCACGCTAAGGATAACATAGACAGTGGAGAGGAATTTAGCCAGCAGAAGCCAATAATGTGGCCAGAAGCACTGACCTCCAGCCGCTGCACCTTGTCTCGAAGTCGCGCCTCCACCCCTTCCCTGCCCTCCGCCAAGCCTCGTGTCTCCTTCAGCTGCTGCTCCAGACCCAGGATGCGCCGACGGAATTCGTCATTTTCCTCCTGGGTCTCCCGAAGCGTTGTTTCCACTGCTGTCCGACGCTGCCCCAGCACTGATGCCTCTGCCTCTGCTGCCATCTTAGCCTGCGGATGGGTCAGAAAGCAGCGGCTCAGACCCTAGGGGCCAGGGTCATTACTTCTCCCAGGAAAATCCTCCCAAAGAGCACCCACCGGAATAAGAGTTTAAAGAGGGTGTTAGCACCAATCAGAGGCCTCCCTAAGAATCCCACTCCTACAGACACACAGTGTGTACTACCAGGTACAGCTGTCTCCCCGCTGCCAAATACTGGCTGGTTTTCACCACACACTTAGGACCACAGATCTAGTTGATACATACCCATGATAGGTCATTTCCACGCCCTCTGGGCTCTTCAGCCCTCCAGACCCCTCAGCCTCCACCTCCAAAACCCCATGCCCACTCCCCTTGCCTTGGAAGCCTCTTCACAGTCCTGTTTCAGCTGCTGGAGGGTCTTCTGTAGCTGTAGGTTCTGCTGTTCCAGTTCCCGGCCCTGGTCAGCCTCGACCCTCAGAACTCCCAGCTGTTTTTCCAACTCCCGTTCGCGGTGTCGCCCAGCCATCTCCTGGCTCTGCCGCTCTGTTTGCAGCTTCTGCAACTCCTCCTGTGTCTGGCGCAGCTCCTGGAATGGAAGGGTAATAATGACCGGGCAAAGACAGCCAGGATCGGCACTATAGTTCCTCATTTAACCAGCCTGTTGCTGTTAAGTGCCGTCAAGTTGGTTCTGACTCATAGTGACCCTTGTTTAGTGCCTCTGAGGGCGGCTGGTAAGTTTGAATCGCCGACCTTGAGGTTCAAACCGACCTTGCAGTCCAGTTCTTATCCTACAGCACCACATGGCCTGGCTCTGTAAAACCTCAGAAGAACCTCTGGCACCTGCTGCTTAGCTGAATAGATGGATCTCAGGATGAACAATTAAAGAAGCAGCTAGATTTTTGCTAAATCAAAACCAAGCTCAACAACAACAAATACCACATATGGTAGGATTTCATATAGATGATATTTTGGAAAAATCTGTGGATAGGAAAGGCTGGAGGCAGAAAGGGGTTGACTATAGAAAGGCAGGGGCAGGAAGCAGGGGAGTGATGGAATTACTCTGAGTTTTGGTTTTGGTGCTACATATACAATTCTATGTACTTTTTAAAGCCCATAGAACTGTACACTACTAAGAGTGACTTCTCCTGTATGTAGATTTACAGCAGAAGTAGCTGGGACTACCTTGGGACCAAGAGTGCTTAGGCTCAGGACCTTTGCCATCATCCCTGCAATGCCACTAACCCCTAGGTTCAAACCAAGCACCAGCACTGTAACACATACTACACAAGACACAGAAAGGGATATGTGGGGGCCTTTCAAAATCATGTCATCGAACAGGGACCAGAGTAATAGAAAGAATGCAGAATGAATAATATAATTAATCAAAGCAAAGTCAACATGTGACTTTCATCACTGAGTTCAACAGAGGGAGAGAACTCTTGCTGGGAAAGATTCAAGGTCAAGAAGACACCACTGGGCAGATGGGTGGGTAGCACTGGGGGACAGGAAAAGCATTCATCAGCCCAGGTGTTGTTGTTATGGGCCATGGAGTCGATTCCGACTCATAACGACCCTGTACAGGGTTTCTAAGGCTATAAATCTTTACGAGAGCAGAAAGCCTCATCTTTCTCCCGTGGAACAGCAGGTAATTTCGAACTTCTGACCTTGCGGTTCACAGCCAGATTCATAACCACTATGCTACCAGCCCAGGTAGAGGAAGTTAAATGTATGAAAGGAGGCCAAAATGTGGTCTGTGTTGTACATATATGAAAGCTACCATCAGGTATGACTCATCCTTATTAATTTAAAAACTAGAGAAATTTCTCTGGATTATTAAATACCACAATCACATTAATTAAATAAAGCAGTAGGTTTCAATCCTAGCTGGACATTAACACTCAAAACTATGGGATTCAAAACTTCAAAAACTATGGGGATTCAAATTGCTATCATCAGGACTGTGAGGGTTGGAAATGTAAAGTTAGACATTTTGTAACAAAAGGAGGGGAGTGGTTTACTATGCAGTCCAGGAGTGGAGGTCCCTAGAACCATCCAGGGAGAAGAGCCAAGTGCGGGACCCTACCCAGAGAAGCAGTGATGCCAGAGATGGAGGCAGAGACGATGATGTGGAGAGATGGAATGGCTGGGGACTCTAGACCCAGAGAGGGAGAGGGGCTGTGTGCTGATGATTGGGGGGGCAGGCTTGCAGAGTATACCCTTTGGTTGGTTGATGATGCATGGAGGGGATTATAACCATGGCAATGAAATGATGTAAGATAGGATGAATTTAAAGCTAATGTTCTCCCATGTAAACTACCACATAATTCACAATAAAACATTAAAAAAAAAAAAAAGAGTTAAAAACAAAAACTATGGGGATTCAGTAGATGAATCCAGATTTAAAAGAGGACAAATGTGGAACATATTTTCAAATTCTTATAGAAGCCAAACTTACTGGACCCATTGGGACTGAGGGGACCCTCAAATTTGTTTCCCTGAGTTAATTTTTTAAATCTTGAGCCAAAACTATCCCATGAAGTCATCTCTAAAGTAAACAACAATTTAGCTTCAGCTAGTAAAGAATATTTGCCTTGAGCTGTGGGCGCTTTTAAAGCATGTTCCAAATGAGATCAGACTACCAGCAGTAATTCTAAAACACAGAGAAGTTTAGAGGACAGAAAGCCTAAGTTAATGGTGATGAAACAATTTGAGTAGAGATAATGAGAATGGTGACACAATGTAGAGAATGTGACCAAGGTTGTTGAACTGCTGTTGTTATTGCTGTCTGGTGCCAAGTCGGTTCTGACTCACAGCAACCTATGTACAACAGAATGAAACACTACCCTGTCCTGTTAAACTCTACAAGGAGAAAATGTTGAATGGACATGTTTTGTTATGTATATTTTCACACACACAAAAATCATATATTATAGAACCCAAAAATCTGAATATACCTATTAAGTAAAGATACTGAACTGGTAATCAAAAAAACTTTCCACAGAGGAAAGTGTAAGACCGTGTGGATTCAATGGTAATTTCTATCAAATGTTTAAAGAAGAATTAATACCAATCCTTCACAAACTCTTCCAAAAAGTAAAAGAGGAGGAAACACTTCCTCATTCTATGAGTAACATTACCAGTACTACTCTGATACCAGAGCCCGACAAAGACATCACAAGAAAAGGGCATTGCAGACCAATATCACTTATGAATATAAATATAAAAATCCTCAACAAAATACTAGCAAACCAATTCCAACAGCATAGTGAAAGGATTGTACACTATGACCAACTGGGATTTATTCTAGGATACAAGCGTGATTCAACATACAAATCTTAAAGCAATGTACCATATTATTAGAATGAAGAAAAAAGAAAATACACAATCATCTAAATTCATGTAGAAAAACATTAAAACAAAATCCAACACCCCTTCATGATAAAAACACTCAACAAAGTAGGAAAAGAGAATTTCCTCAAACTGATCAAGGGTATCTATGAAAAGCATACCTGGACTCCTGGTGTGATGCTGTAGATCACCAGTGAACTTCTAATCACAACGTAGGCAGTTTAAACCCACCAGCTGCTCCTCGGAAACTCTATACTGGGTCACTATGAGTCGGAACTAACTCAATGGCACTTAATCATAACAATAGCACACTTAATGGTGAAAAACTGAAAGTTTTCCCCACAGTACAGTGTAGTACTGGCATATGGATCAATAGAGTAGAATTGAGAATACTAAAATTAATGCATAATTAATTTCAAACAATGGTGCCAAGTGGGAAAATTATTTCTTGAGTAAACTGTATATACAGATAACTGGATTGCCACATACAAAAGATAAAGCTGGTTGGAAATGTAAACGTAGACATTTTGTAACAAAAGGAAGGGAGTGGTTGATTTTGCAGTCCAAGAGTGGAGGTCCCTGGGACCATTAAGTGCGAAGAGCAGAGTGCAGGACCCTATCCAGAGAAGCAGTGACACCAGGGATGGAAGCAGAGAAGATGACATGGAGAGATGGAGCAGCTGGGAACTCTGGACTCAGGGAGGGAGAGGGGTTGTGTGCTGATGGCCGAGGGGCGGGCTTGCAGGGTGTATCCTTTGGGTGTTTCATGATGCATGGAGGGGATTGTAATGATTACAATGAAACAAAATACAATAGGAAGAATGTAAATCTAATGTTCTCCCATGTAAACATAATTCATAATAAAAACACTACTTAATGCTTTTTAGTTTTTCAGCTTTATCCCAAATGATAAATTAACAGATTGTCTAAAGGAATGTCCAAGTTCACTGTGTCAGCTTCTATATAAAGTTAATAGACCTCAAAGTATTCTGGATATTTATTAACTTGAAAACAAGATAGTAAAAATTTAATTATTTCAAGAGTTTCTTTAATAAAACAGAATTTTAAATTATATTAATGCTTAATTTGGTTAACATTTGTTATGTTTTTCTCCACCAGATATTTTGTCTAACCTCAGGATTTAATTCATCTGGAAAATCATCACTTCAAGCTATGTTGCTTTACCTTGTTTAAAGAGTATTGAGTTTCTGTTTGAGGTGATGAAAATGTTTACAAATAAATGATGGTAAGGGTCACATAATATGATGAATGTAATTAATGGTATGACACTATCAGATAAGCACTGGACTGCTAACCATAAAGTCAGCAGCTCAAATTTACCAGCCACTCTTCAGAAACCCTATACAGATCACTAAGTCGGAACTGACTGGATGGTACTTAGTAACAACAAAAATCAGTACATTTAAAAATTATTAAAACAGCAATTTTTTTGTTACCATAATAAAACCAGAAAAAAGAAATATACATATAATTATTACCTTGATTATAATTAGGCAATCTTATAGGTATAAACCCAAACATCCACTACCATTGAGTCAATTCTGATTCATTCATAGGGTTTTCGCAGCTATATATTTTTGCAAGAACAGAAAGCTTCATCATTCTCCTATGGAGTGGCTGGTAGGTTTGAAACCCCAACCTTGTGGCTAGCAGTCCAGTGCTTATCCCACAGTGCCACCCGAGGTCCTTTCTTATAGACATAGACATGAAAACCAAGTACTGATTAGTTAACTTGCTACTGAGCACCCATGCCAACTAAGAAAAATGTAGATCTTAGAAGGATCCCCAGAAGCCATAAGCATCAGTCTCTACAATTAACGAAATGAAAAAAGCATAATGGTGATGTGGGTTGGGCACTGTGCTGCTAACTGAAAGGTCAGCAGTTCAAACCCACCAGCCGCTCCAAAAGAGAAAGATGAGGCTGTCTGCTCCTCTAAAAATTTAGTCTTGGAAACCCTAGATAAGATCACTATGAGTCAGAATGGTTTTAGATTTTTGTTTTATAATTAATTAAAATACTTTATCTAAATTATCTAAAACTGTTACTTTCTTATTCCTTAATATGCCAAAATACCAGAAGTATAAAAAAAAGTATCTGTATGCTTACCTTTAATTTTATGATCATTTATTATGTATATAATTTGACATTCATGTATGATAAAAACAATTTTCTTTTAATAATAATAATAATAATAATAAAACAAAGAGAGGAAATCTTACCACAAACTTCAAGTGTTAAGGCCCATCACAAAGTCATGCTGACTAGAGAGATAGACACATTAACACTGGAATTTTTTAATTCCCCATGTCCAGACTTTGTACTCTCTAAACAGCCTTCAGATTACCATTTGGCGTCTCATGTAGGTCAGCTGACCATGCCAACACAAGTGTTATGTGACAACACAGCCCATGTGACAACAGTTCTTGTTACTCACTGTAAGTTCATAAAACTGGCATTCTAACTATAAATCATTTCACACATGTTGTTAATGAGTCCTCTCAGTAAGACAGAACACCCTTGCCATGTTACCAAATTAGGGTTCTGAGCCTTCAAAAATGAGCTTGGAGTTTTACAAAATCTACCCAAAGGCTGCTATCCATGAGGTCTCTTGGGAGGCAGCCAGTGGTCTGCTGGCTATACCCCAACCTGGCCACTGAGAACTCTTTTCATTAGAAACTTCTCCACTCAGCAAGAAGATCAGCACTGCTGGATGGAGAGTGTGTGCTGGGAAGAAGACAAAGCTGAGCATGAGCAGGCAGGATGGGGCTGAAAAACCACGCACATCTGAGACAGTAGTGTGGAGATCCCCAAAAAGCAAGGTACAAAAGGGCTTGATTGTTCTTGCTAATCTAGAGTGAACAATTTCACGTGGGCATGAACAAGTTCACTACAGATCAGTACGTAAACACAACTTAAGCCTGAGCATACTTTACTTGCTATAAGCTGATGCATACTATGCTTACCAGTTAATCCACCTCTGGTGAGAAAGTGAGGCAAGTGCTTATATCCCCACCTGGTCTTTCTTTCTTTCCCCCAACTTCTAAGTACCTTCTTGAGTTCCTCTAGCTGGTGAGTATCCCCAGCACCAGCTCGGGCCTGCGTTAACTCCCTCTGCAAGGCCTCTGTCTTCTCCCCAAGCTCCTCTTCCAGCTCCTCCTTCTCCATCCGCAGCTGCAGGAGTCTGAGTCCAGGAAGGTGATATAAAGGGGAAAGGGAAGAAGGTCAAGCCACTTGCCTAGAGGCCAGCACACTGGGCATCAGAAGGGTAGAAGGCAGATGTAGAAAAGAACATCTGAGAAACGAAAGTGGAAGCAGGGGGCATAGGTAGAGATGGAATGTAAGAAGTATCCCTGAGAAAGGGGCAATGTCCTCACTCCTGCTTGGTGGCTCTAAGCTCCTCCTTGTTCTTCTGGAACATGCTCTGCCAATGCCCTGTCTCCTCTGAGCTCTCCTCCAACTCCCTCTGCAGCCCTCGCACCAGCGCTGATATCTTCTGCCTCTCAGCCTCCAATGCTGCATGGTCCTAGGAGGGAAGGAGAGCATTAGGGACAAGGGAGTTCTGAAGGAAGAGCTTACTTTCATACAAGGGGAGCTTAGGTCCAGAAAGCACTGTACTAGTTGCACACCCTGAAGCCCCAGTGGCACCTGGTACAATACTAACAGAAGGCTCTCTCCCCACGTCTCAGTCCACCCCTCTGTCATCTACAGGAAGCCACCCCAGTTAGTTCCGGTGGGGCTTTGGTCACAACCTCATTGTACTTCTGGCCAAAACCTTGCCTTTGCTTTGTAACATTTCCTAGGCAAGGTTTTCAATACCTCTCACATGTGTACTATGCTTATAACAATAAAAATACCAAAAATACAAGGCCTCAAGACCCCAAAAATGCAACCCCTTTCCCTGACAGTGCCTGCTCCTCCCCACCCCTTCTTGTCATATGCCTGGGTTGCATCCTGCATGCTCCGACGAAGCTGTTCTGTGTCTCGCTGATACTGCTGCCGGACATGTTCCACCTCCTGATCACGGGAGGCCACCTCCTCCTTCAGGGCCCCCTTCAGGGCCGTCAACTCCCGCTCCCGCTGCCTGAGCTGTTCTTCTATCCGCTGCTTCCCCTCCAAGACCTCTTCTAGAAGCTCCCGGGTCTCTATCAGGTCCTGGGAATAGTGAAGGTGGAAGCACAGGGTGCCCATATCAAGATCCATCTGTCCATTAATTCATGCATTCATTCAGCAAATATTATTCAGTACCTTTTATATGCTAGGCATGGTACCAGCTACTCTCTGCCCTATAATATGCCTACTTAGAATAAAGGAAACCCATTGTTCTGGACTCCCACCTCCCCCTGCCATTGAGTCTACCTGAAAGCACACTAATGAGTATCTCTAATAAGCCACCAGCTCCCTAGTCTTTGGAGAAAATGTGCCTGAGCAAACATAAGGACACTCCAGGTGAAAGAATGCAGGGGCCAGGGTACCTAAGCCTGCTCCCTACCTTCATCAGCACATCCTTCGCAGGCTCAGAACCCTGGGCCTGTTTCAGCTTGCTCTGAAGTTCCATCACCTGGGTCTGCAGTCCAAGCCGTATTCGTTCACCCTGGTCCAGGAGGAGCTTAGTGTTCTGAAGCCTAATGATTAACAATATATAATATTTACTGAATACTAAGCATCTGAAAAGGTGCTCTGGTAGCATAGTGGTTACGAATCGGGCTGAGGTTACGACCTCAAGGTGGGCAGTTTGAAACTACCAGCTGCTCCATGGGAGAAAGATGAGACTTTCTGCTCCCGTAAAGATTTACAGCCTCGGAAACCCTGTACAGGGTCACTATGAGTCGGAACCAACTCCACGGTACTTAACAACAACAACAATAAGCATCTGAAAGTTTCTAAAACTTTACATATATTCTCATTTAAATCTCTTTGTTACAATCTCGATGAGGTCTTCCTTGCCTACCCTACTTATCCTGCTATATGCCCCTCCATAACCTATCTCTCCTGATCAGCTTTATCCAGCTCTACTTCACCTTTTAAAATGTTACACATTTCCATATATTATATATTTGTAAAGGGTCGCGATGAGTCAGAACTGATTCGATGGCATACCACCACCCTCTCACTGGAAACAAAACTTCTAGAGAGCAGGGTTCTTCATCTGTATGACTCACTGATGTACCCCAGGAACTGAGATCAGTGCCTGCCACACAATATTCACTTCTGAATAAATGAATGAATCCCTCAAAGAATCTTTTGAAGCAGGTACTATTATCATTTTATCTCACAGATAAAGAACATGAGGCAAATGGAACTATAATCATTACATACTAACCTGCCTGAGGAAAGGCGTAAAGAGAAAGGTCCTGTTTTAAAATCATCTCTGCCTCTTCCAGCTTCTAGAGATTTCCCTCTGTCTCTGAGTCGTGGGGACAGGCATCGAACTCCACCCAGCAGTCCCCATGCACCCACAGCTGTACTCACTCCTTGGTGCTCTGCTGGGCCTCCCCCTTTCTCCTCTCCAGCAGCTCCTGCAGCCGGCTACACTCCTCTGCCTTCTCCTCCAGCTGCCGCTCCAGCACCACACGGGATGGCTCAAGCTTCTGCCGCTTCTGGAAAAAACATGGGAGAATATAGAGTGGTAGGGGAGAAAAGTCACTTAGAAGGAGGGATAAAGAGAAAATTTATTAGGACTGCTCATGTGGTACTGTAAGATAAGCACTGGACTGCTAACCACAAGGCCGGCGGTTCAAACCTTCCAGTGGAAACCATATACAAGATCACTACCAGTCAGTACCAACTCAAGGATATTTAACAACAACAGCACTTATTATATTTTTACTATATAAAAAGCTACCAGTGGTTCCGCGGGAGAAAGATGAGGTTTTCTGCTCCTGTAAAGATTTATAGCCTCAGAAACCCTATGCAGGGTCGAAATGGGTCAGAATCGACTCAACAACATTTAACAACAATATGACAAGCAGGCATCCTGGTGTGGCGCTGTGGGTCAATGCATCAGACTGCAAAGCCATTTGAACTGTAAGGTCGGTGGTTCAAGCTCACCAGCTGCTCCTCGGAAACCCTATACAGGGTCACTATGGGTCGGAACTGACTAGATGGCACTTAACAACAACAACAACATATTACAAGTAAGGCGCTCTGGTGGCATTGTGGGTTAATCACTGGGTTGCTAACCATAAGGTCAGTGGGCAGTTCAAATCCACCAGCCACTCTGTGGGAGAAAAATGAGGCTCTCTGCTCCCGTAAAGATTTACAGTCTCAGAAGCCATAAGGAGCAGTTCTAAATTGAGTCACAATCAACTCAATGGTAATAAGGATGTGACAAGTACTGTCCTAGGGACCTTTTGTATGTTATCTGCATTTACTCCTCAGAACAACCCTTGATACTTGTGATCATTTAAATATGTCCACAGAGAAGAACTTGGTACCTGGCTACCATTACTAAATGTTTTGATTAAAGAAGAGAATTTCAAATTCTCATGGAATTCTAACTTTCTGGAACAACTGAGGCTACATGAATCCTTGAAACTATTGATCCTTAAATCTTAAACCAAAAATATACCTTGAAGTTTTTTTTTAAAACCAAACAATAGTAAAGAATATCTGCCTTGCATAGTACTCAAGAACTATTTATTTCACACATGTAGTTACTGAATCCTCACTGCAAGACAGAGCCACTCTTGCCCTATAGACCAAATTATGGAATCAAAGCGACAACAACTCAAAAGATTAGGTAAGAAACCCAGGAGGCAGTGTGTTTGTTTATGTCAGCAGGAGAGGAATAATTCAGAAAAGGAGGAAGACAACAATTATACAACTTGAAGAATGTAATCAGAGTCATGGAATTGTACAAGTAGAAATTGTTATGTATGTTCTGTTGTTTATATTCTCAACAAGAGCAACAAAAATTATGTCCACACATTTTTTGGCATGCGTTTTAAAAGGTGAACCCTAATTCCCCTCCCAAGTATGGGCTAGACTTAAGGACCCTCTTCTAGTAAACAGAAAAAAGGGGAAGTGACATACATGACTTCCAATACTAAGTCATAAAAAGGTGTGGTGGCCCGCTCCTTGCCTTCTCGCTTGGATCACTTGCTCTAGGGGAAAGTAGCTGCCGTGTCATGAAACTCTCGAGTAGTCCTATAAAGCGGTGTGCAGAGCAAGGAACCGAGGCTTCCAACCAACAGCCATTTGAGTACGCCATTCTTCTTGATGGAACCTCATGACAAGTCCTGAGTGAGAACTACCCAGTTAAGCTGCTCCTAGACCTCAGCCACAGGGAGATAATAAATGTTTGCTTTATTTAAGCTCTTAAATTTGGGGGTAATTTGTTATACAATAATAAATAACAAATACAATACTATTATTATTGTCATTTTACATTTAGGGAAACAGATGCTTAGCAAAAACTTGCTCAAGGTCAGTCACACAGCCAACACGTAAGGGTACCAATCTTTGAACCCAGGTAGCTTATCAACTGGGTTCAAACACTACTGCACTGTACTCCTAGGAGACAAGAGAAGTTACAATCTAACACTTACTAAGCCCCAATTACATACAGAGCAATACTGAGGTGGGGGCAGCATGAAATGCATATGTAAATACACTGGAATAAGACGGAATTATTTAAGTCCTTTGCAATCTACTACCTTGAGCAATTTACTTAACCTCTTTGTTCTTCTCAACATAAATTATTCCAGAATGCTTACTTTACAAGGTTGCTTTAATGATTACATACTAGCCAGAACACTACCTACTCCAAAAATGATGTTCAATGAATGACAGCTACCACTGTTGCCATCATAATTGTTAATGTAAGTGGGTATTATTGTCTCGGTTTTTCAGACACAAAGAATTGAAGCAGAATAATTTGAGTAAATAACTTAGGTATTCTGCCTAAAATCCATAAAATAAATGGTACAGCCGAAATAAGAACTTCTAAAGTTAAGGGAATGGAAAGTAGTTGGATGCCTCAGGTGGTCTGCCTTGCTGAGTTTCAGAGTATCTCAGAAGTTCTTGCTAGGCTAGTACACACACTTATCTCTTGTCTCATGGGACACAAGAATGCTTGTTCCATTGCGTCAAGGCACCAGTTCAGTTCATTTCCAAGTCATGGCTATTTCCCTGGGGTCCCTCATCCCCCTCACACCTCTAATCTCTCCTCACCTTCACTTCTTCATCCAGCTTTTGCTGTAGCTCCTCCACTTTTCGGGTGAGGTCCCCCTGCCCTGTCAAAGCCTTAACAGAACCAGGAGAGGCCATCTGCCAGAGACATGGGCAGGAAGATAGTGAGTCACAGCCAGATCCTCCAAGGACTCCAGGTTTGAGCTCTACCCCTTGCTCCCACCCCAAGAAGGCCACTTACCACCAGAGGCTGCATCTGCTCCAGCACCAAACTGACCTTCCTCCTCACAGAGGTTTCACTTTCTGAACTTCTGGAAGATGAAAGAACAGAAGCAAAGGTTAGAAGAGGGAAAAGGTAGCAGAAACAAGGAAGAGGTCAAAAACAGAGGAGGTGGGGAATGAAGCTACAAGGGAAATAGAGGCAAGGTGTGCCTCCCACTGTGGGGTGGCCCTACTCACCCCTCCCTCAGGATGCCATAGATGATGGCCTTTACATGGTCCACAGTGCCTGGTGGGGCTGCCTCCTGCTGGTCTCGGAGAAGGTCTGGGGTGGATTTAAACTGCAGAAATAGAAACCCAAAGGATTAGGATGATTAGGCCAGAGGTGTATACGGGGATTAGATGGAGAAGTGGCAGACAGGAGACGAGGCCCTTCAAATATGATGAAAAAGCCTGAAATCGGGTCAGGTGGCAATCTTGTTGAGGTCTGAGCATTGGGCCAGGAAAGGTCCAGGACAATACCTCTCCGTTATTGTTGCAAACCAGATTTTCCTGGGCAAGCAGATTTCAACCAACTGTTAGCTATGTCACAAGTAATTTGCCACTAATGATAGTTAATGTACTCGAGCTTATAAATGATTTCTTTTACTCTGAGGTAAATGCATTCCCACTTAGCTGCATTCCTGAGTGGGAGACAAAGGTGTGGAGTTTCTGCAAGAGCATCTCCAAGCCCGACTTAAGCAGACCTGGCAAATGTTGGTGACTGAGGCACAGTTAAAAGTTGGAGCAATTCTGGGATACAGGGATTGAGACATGGTTGGAATGGGGAAAAGGGGGGAAATAATGTGAAGATG